TGCACCTGGGCAGAGGTAGCCCCATTAGGATATGACTATCAGCCACAACCCAGGGACTGGGTCCCTGAGTCCCTGGAAGCTTACACCTCACAAATAAGAGTCCTGACCCCTAGAAGCAGAGATCAGAGTAATGTGGTTGGTTTGCTATTAAGTTGGATGGGGGCTCTCACATTGTCATGCTGTCCCTGTGGGTAACAGAGATTGACTGTCTTGCTATTGTACAGTTAGTTCGTGCTGTTGGATTATCCCATTGAAACTGGGACTGCTGTTCCCTTCTCATAGTGATAACTTGGGTCTGTTGTCCTCTTAAGAAACGAGAAACATACACTTCTTAAGCTGAACCACGTAAACTTGAATTCTGCGCACTGGGAGAAATGTGTCCTGAGTTTCAAAGGATAAAACTGTTCTAAAGGCTTCCAGGGTCATGATGGGATTTTTTTAAATAAATGCAAAAAAAATAAAATAAAAAGAAAAAAGAATAAAGAAAAAAAAAAAGAAAAAATGCTAGGTTGGGGAGGCGCTGTTCTGAAACCCAACCGGCTGGAACCAAGAATGTCGTTTCTATTTTTATAGAAGTTTTATACAGCTCCGGGGTGGAGAATATTTATTACCTAAATTATATCTCTGGAAAAGGCCAGGATTTTGTAGAATCCAGAATGTGATTGTTGTACACACAGGGTGCTGTGTATGATTGAAACTACTGACTTTCTGTGGCCGATTGCAGCCCAGCTAACCTGCCCGAGGGGAAGGTGTTAATGCTGTGAATTGGCAGAGGAGAGAGCTGTGCTCCACAGGGTGCTGCCGGTGCTGTGCTCCCTAACCTTCTGTTCTGTCTTCCTTCTTGGCCAGAACTCCACTCCCTTCCCCCTTCTCCCTTTTTCCATATCACTGCCCCTCCCCCATTTCATCATTTGTCCATGGATTTGTTCTGGGCTCTGGGACCTTATGAAACGACTTTGCTGATGACATGAGGCAAAGGTGCAATCCACTGCCTTTGATACAGACCCTGAGGCTTCATACCTGATTTTGGTTCTCTTTTTGTAAGAGGAGCACATGCCCCAGCAGGGTCCTGGGCTGCTAAGGCAGCCAGCTGGTGAGATCATGCACTTCTGTTCTCTCCTCCCTCTGCCCAGTGCGTTTGCACCGCAGCAGCACTGCCCTTGAGTACAGTTCTTTCCCCAGGCCAAAGATGGTTTTGTGAAGAAGCTGCTCCCCTACAAGTCTCATGGTGTGAAAGGGCTCGGCTCAGCTCAGCTCGGAGAGTGGAGACTCGCAGTCAAGTCTTAAGCAATCCTTTTCTGTTGTGTGGAGGTTTCACTTAAAATGTGTTTTTTGTTTTGTTTTTTTGTTTTGCTGTCGTTTTGTTTCATACTTGGGTTACATCATGAAATTGATTTGCCTTGAATGCAGCCAGACCACTGTCTCTCCTGGGTTCCATTTGAGTGGCCAGGACCTGTGTGGAAGCTATGGGCTTGGATTTCTGGGAACAAAGGGCGGTCCCCATAGGTTTCAAGCAGAAATCCTGTCCCTCTACCATAAAGAAATCTTCCCCACCCCAGCCAGTGTCTTCTGCTGTCCCCTGCCCCACTGAGTTTTGGCCCGGGAATGGGAGAAAGGCTGAGAGGCCCTGTTCCCCAAGAGACGTTCTCTTATATGTTGAGTGCTTCGTGGGAAATCCAAGCCTTAGGTTCCCTTCTGTCTCTGGCAATTGGATGTTTTCTTGGTGTTCTCCATGTCCTTTTTGACTTTTCCCTGTGTCCATTGTTAGCATGTGCAAAAGTTCCCTGTCATTACCCACCCCCTGCCCCATCCCGCCTCCTCATTTCAGGGCTGTACACACAGTGAGTGTCTGTTCTCTCTCTCTGTTTGGATGTATTGCTCTGTGTAACTCAGTGGGTCTCCCTCTTTCTGGTTTGTTTTTTTTTCTAGATTCCTGCCGTTTGTTCATCGTTGTGCCTAAAGCATGTCGATGTGGCGTCAAGTACATCGTCCAAATCCCTGTCTCTTCAGCTTCTCTGATGCTTGAACTCTCACCTTTGACCTTGTGTTGACCTTTGATGCTGACGTGTATTTTTATTATGTTTGTTTCTTTCTTTTTTCTTTCCTTTTTTTTTTTCCCTTTTGTGCTGCCAAAATTGGTTTTGCTAGAACGACTGCTGAAGGGGAAATATTTAAACTTGCATTTGAATATAAAAAAATCTATTTTTCTAGAACTTCATAAGATAACCACTTGATTTTGTGATTCCAATTCTTTGTAATTGTCTTCAGAGCAGCCCTACTAGCACATACCGCGTGGTGTTTGTATTTCTGTGAACACACAGCCAGTCCGTTTCTAGGCTTTGTTTCTCTGTGTGCTTAGTTTTAAAGACAACTTTGAAGTAAACAATGAAATAAACGATGTCACTAAAACCTTTGAGGCTCCTGAGCACATTTTGCTGACATAGTTTGTGGGGCTTGAGGAGATGCATGTGTTGCTTTTATTTTTGTTTTTCTGAGTTCTCAACTGCAGCAAACACCTGAACCCCCCCCCCCACCCCTTCCTTTATGACTGCAGTTTGGGCCCCAGCCAGCCCTTTTTCTTTTTCTTTTTTCTTTTTCTTCTTTTGTGGTTGTTCCCTGGAGCTACCCTGCAGGGAGCTTTGGCTCCCTCTTGCCCCTTCCCTCAGCCCCACAGGGCTCTCCTCCATACTTGTTCCTACAGTCTCCACAGCAAAATGTGATGCTTTTTGTTTTGTTTTGTTTTTGTATTGTTTTTTGTTTTGAAATTTTTTCTTTCCTACTAAGATTATGCCCAGACAAAAACAAGTTTTGCATGTGTCCTGCTGTTTCTTCACACCTTCGTATATATCACCTTCACCTCTCTGTTTTCTATAGTTTGTGCAAAAACTGACCGATTTAAAAGGGTTTCAAAGAAGCTGTTTTAAATTGTTGTGGGGTTGATTATTATTATTTTTTTTAAGATTGTACTGTTTTATTTTGAAGTGGCAACTTTCTCCTCTATTGCCCTTAGAGTGTTTGCCTGTGCACTTAGACTGTCACCTCATGCGGCCTCCAGGTCTCAGCAGGGCTCCCAGGAGGCTGGCTGCTCTGCTCAGGAGTGGGAAGACCCAAGAAGCAGAGCTGGAACCCGAAGGTGGCTATGGGTGGACAGGAGGCTTAGCACAGTAGGGCTAGCACCCAGCAGAGGGAGGGTGCTCCTAACCACCAGAGGATGCCGTCTGCACACTAAGCGGCTATACATCTGCTGCGCTTTTCCTAGGTGACAAGCACAATACTACAGTCTTCACACTGTTTACAGCCCTGGGCACAAACCACCCCACACTGGCTCTTCACCACAGCTCTGCTCTTGCTTAGCTAGTGGGGTGGGGATAAGGGCGGGGATTTGTTTTTTAAATTGGGTGAAGAGCCAAATAGCTACTGTCCCTGGGTGCCAGGCCAGCTAGTTCTTTGGTTCCCTAAGGGGAACTTTCCCTCTTCTCTTGTGGCACCATGCAGCCTCAGGGTCTTGAGGACTTGAGGAAGAATGTGAATGGAGGGGGAGAGGCCAGAGGAGATGAGGGGGCAGGGGTGGATCTGTGGGGGGAGAGGTAGCAGGGAATGAGTTTATAGCAGATCCCACCCAGACCTACATGCTGGTGGGAGGAGGAGCTGGGAAGCAGAATTGTCCAGGGAAGGGTGGCAAGGTACAGCAAGGGACCTGGGGGGGGGGGGGTTAGAAGCACTGTTTAGCATCGCTCACACTGGGGTTGAGGGAGGAAGGGATCCTGTCAGAATTTCTGCTCTGAGACCCAGCAGGTTGCCCAGTATTATGCTTGAGGCCACTTACTAGGAGGAAAGGGCAGCCAAGTGGAGGCCCAGTGTATGGTAGGCTGCTGAATTTCCTGGAAGGGGTGATTGGATGGAAAAGGCCAGAAGCCCCAGCCTGAGAGACTGCTGTGCACCCCACAGTCTGACTGCACAGAGCCGCCTCTGTTGGCAGGAGGCACTGAGGCTCCCCTTCCTGTGTATTGAGAAGCCTTGTTTGCCAATATATTTTGCTTTCAATTCCAAGAGGAGCTCTGGGAAAACCTGTGGATAAAACCAAATGCCAAACGTTGGACGTTGTTTCCTTTTCCTTTTCTCTCTCTGATTGTTTTAATTGTTCTGTGGTGGTTTTAATGGATTTGAGACCCTGGAGCGGCAGCTGCCTTTCTGATTTCCAGCTGCTTTTTGTGAATAATTTAAAAAGAAAAAAAAAAAAGAAACTTTACATTTTGGAGACAAACCTGTGTGAGTTTTTTATTGGTACAAACGTTGTATTTAACACTAGGGGTTTTGTACAGTTTTTTGCCTTTTCTACTAGAAAACAATGTAAAGTGATTTCACAATGTGAAGAGAAAAAAAATTGCCACTATGACCAAACGCACAGTCTGTTCTGCAGCAACAACGGGATTCAATCAACTCAAAGTCGTGATTCAGCCGTAGAAATGCTTTTCCTTGACCTTGTTTGAGCTTTCCTTTCTTTCCTGTTTGATTTGCAAAAGAAAATGTCTTTTTTGTGTGAACTTGTGTTGTACTCTGTAGAAAATTATGGATTTTACTTTAATGGTTTAAATAAAGGCAAGAAGAGCCCTTATTGCTTTTCTTACCTAATCACAGAGTTTGTGTAGTGGATTAAAAAAGAAAAAAAATTGTTACAAGTTTGGAGCAAGGGAGTATGTGTTTAAAAGGACTCTCCTTCCTTTTTTTGTGTGTTTTTCCTTTTGTCCCAATGGGGAACCTAAATCTGTTTTAATTGCACAGACACACGGACAAAAAGTCATTTTGTATCTGCCAAGTGTGGTACCTTCCTTTGTTTATTTGCTATTAAACTGTTTGAGAAGAACTGATGCTGTCTTCAAGAGTTTTTGATTGCTGGGGATGGATGGGGATCCCTAGAGGGCTGGGGTTGGTGGTGTTCCTTACACAAAGCAGACAGATGGTTTTATCTTGATGGTGTGCAGCTGAACCCACCAAAGGTCCCGAAGGAAACCGTAATTTATCCTAAGAACACTGCCTGCTTGGTATTCTTTGGTGTTCTGCAGGATCGCTGCTGATATAGAAACATCTTAAAACTTTTGGGCAGCCTTAATTCTCTTGTGCTTCTCCCATTCTCAATAGTGGCTCCCTATCACAGAACTGGTCTACACCCACTATTGCCGAAGTCCCTCTTTTGGTGCTTCATAGTCCCTGAGAGTCAGTAGTGGCCAGCACAAATCCCATACCTTGGCTGCCTGGGCCTTCCTCTCTAGACCTTTGAGGCACTGGCCCAAAGCAGTTACTCTTCTTTTATTCCTTCAGTTTATAACTTGGTGATTCCAGATCTCTCCCCAATTAAGGTCCTACACCTGGGGCTCCCCTTAGACCTCTGAGAACTCAGGTTCAGTTCTCAGGAGTCTCAGGCCTTCTAGCTAAGAATAAGCCTTCTCTTCCTTGTCCAGTCCTTTATTGCCACTGCTGTCCTCATGGAGACCTCTGGGTGGGCCAGGCCTTACCCTGTCCTCGCTGTCCTTCCGAGTGGGGTGAGTCTTGGAGTAGCATTTCTCAGTGGGGGTGCATCACGCACTAGCTGTGATGTGTTCTGTGAAGTAAGGGTTCTGACCACAGATTTGGGGGATATTCTCTTGCCTTCTAGCACCTAGTGGCATATTCAGGACTCTGAGACATCAGACACTAAAGGAACCTCTTAGGTTTGATTTAATCCATTATCTCCCAGACTGAACCCTGTTTAATATTGTCCACTTGCTCCCCTCAAAAATTTGGTGGTTGTGGACGTTAAAAGATCTTGTCAACTGAACTGGGAATGTAGCTCAGTGGTAGAACACTTACCTGGCATACATGTGTCCCTGGGTTTGAGTCCCAATGCTGCACACACATACACACACCAAAAAAAAAAAGATTTTTGTCAACCAAACTTTCTCTTTAGTTGCTGTTTTATTCATGTCACCATTTTTGTTTTGTGTAGATTTTATTGCAATGCTAGAGATCAAACCCATGGCCTCATGAATGCTAGGCCTTTGCCACTGAGCTTATATCCCATCCTCATATCTCCATTTATGTTTATTAAAAATGTTTAAAACTTTGTATTAGCATGCAATACATTTATCTTAGCTAATGTCCATTGATTGTCTACTACAGTCTTGTGCTCTGTGAAAGTGGGGATTGAACTCATGGATGGTCTACCACTGAACTACATCCCAAGTGGTTTTTTGTTTTGTTTTGTTTTAAATCTTGAGAGAGGGTCTCACTAAATTGCTGAGGCTGACTTCAAACTGGCGATCCTCTTGCCTCTGCCTCCTCAGTTGCTGGGATTACAGGCATACACCACTACACCCAGTCCTTCCAGTTTTTATACCATTCCCCATTCCTGGGAGATGGCTATTGTTCCCCTCCCTATTTTATGGATGAGCCAGCAGGTTAGAAGTTAGGTGGCCTGCTACAGAGTGCTATATTTGAATCCTGAGTCCATTCTCTTAACCACTATTGGTTACAAATTACTTATTGTTTTTGGTAACCTGCATCTTCTCATAGGTGATTGCACTCTTTAGCTGGGGATTGAACTCATGGCTTTGTACATACAAGGTAAGCACTCTACCAACTGAGCTATATCCCCAGCCCTATTGCACTCTTTAGCAAAAAAGGATTTAGGGGGTCCTGTGACTCCCCCAGGTGGTGACTCTTTGTCTTTGCCTCCTTCCTGAGGCCGTTTTTGGTGTTGGAGCAGCTCGCTGTCATAACACTCCTACAAAAGTGCTGCCACCTGTACAGAGTGGGGGCTCCTCAAAGGCACCCCACTCCATACTCTCAGTTCTTTACTAGATCTGGTACTGACTCAGCTGTTGTTTACCTAATGTTTATTTTTTATTATTAATTTAGGGGCATTAAGTTCATTTACAATATTTGTGTCATTACCACTTAGATTTTAAATCACCTTTTCAACTTCATTCTAACCACTAATAATTTGTAAAATCAAATTTGATATCCTAATTATTATATTTCGGACATACATAAAATTACAGAACTATTAACATGAAATGTCCATTGAATGCCTTTTCAGTGTTCTATATTTCATACTTTGAGAAAGTGGGGTGACGGGGGTCAGGGCCTTCCTCCATGGACTCCTAGGCCTGATTGTTCTGCACAAGAGAAGTCCTCTCCTGCCTAGCTAGATTTTACGTTCTGTGACTCAAGAGGAAAGTGGTAGAACTTCTCTTTTAGTCTTTGTCTTGGGATTCCTGTGTTCCTGAGATAGAACTTTATGTGAAAATAGAATATTATGTACTACTTGAGCATCTTTCAGTTAACATCAGACTTAAAAGCTGTTGTTTCTCTTAATAATAATTTATCTGGGACTGGGGATATAGTGTGGTAGAACACATGTCTAGCAAGCACGAAGCCTGGGGGTCAATCCCCAGCACCACAAAAAAGAAAACCCCCATAAAAGAATATGCATGGGGTACAGTAGTGCACAGTGCACACCTGTATTCCCAGCAGCTCAGGAGTCTGAGACAGGAGGAATAGTAAGAGGACCCCAAGTTCAAGACCAGTCTCTACAACTTAGCAAGACCCTATCAAAAAAAAAAACCTGGGGATGTAGCTCAATGATAGGGGTATCCCTGGGTTCAATCCTCAGTACTGAGGGTGGAAAAAGAGAGGAGGAAGAGAAAGAAAGAGTATGCCAAAAGTAGTTCTTTGAGCTTTATGTATTTATTTATTTGCAGAACTAGGGATTGAACCCAGGAGCACTACTTTACCATTGAGCTACTTCTCCAGTCTTTTTTTTTTTTTTTTTTTTTTGGAGTTGGTCTTGCTAAGTTGCTTGGGCTGACCACAACAAATTTGATTCTCCTGCCTCAGGCTCCCCTGAGTAGCTGGGGTTATACTTGTGCACTGCACGTAGTCATATCTGGCAACTTCTGGCAGGGGGATCGTGTACTAGGGATTGAACGCAGGGGTGCTTAACCACTGAGCCACATCCCCAACCATTTTTATTTACACAGAATCTCTCTAAGTTGCTGAGGCTGGTCTTGAACTTGCAATCCTCTGCCTCAGCCACCTGAGTCACTGGGATCACAGGTGTGCCTCCATGCCCAGCTTAACCTTTTTTAAATTAGACTTTTACATCTTTATAATCATAAAGCTGTACCTTAAACAGTTTGTATTCCTCTTCAAAGCCTTTCTCCTTGCTACAGATGGATCAGCACTTACTTTTTGCCACATTGCTGTTTCCTGTCTGCAGTGACTGTAAGTACACGGCTTTTTATAACTCACATACTGTGTTCACCTGAGCGGCTCAGTCTCTAATGAGGAAAAAGAATGGCTCCGATGGGAAAGGAATTAAAGACCAGGTTGCTTTCACCTCTGGGAACATCAAACTCTAATGTCTGGTAACATTTCCTCAGGAGAAGTCATAGAGGGCTTTGTCTTGCACCTTCTACCTTCTTCAAGCATTTTCTTCCCTTCATAGGAATCCTCTCCAGCCCCTACCTTCTGGTGTTAATTTAAGGTTCTTGTTTTTCTAAATCAAGAGTCAGTCTTGGGAACGAAAATTGAATATATTCAACTCGGAAAGGCCACCCTGACACTGCTGAAACCTTTCACTATCCCATCCCCACTCTCTGAGAGTCCCACTAACTTGAGGTCACTTGAAATGTGGGGGAAAAAAAGAAAAGCTTTACAAGCCAGGCGTGATGGCACACACCTCAATTCCTAATGACTCAAAGGTAGGAGGATCACAAGTTTGAGGCCAGCCTGGGCAACTTAGCAAGAGACCCTATCTGAAAATTAAAAAAAAAAAAAAAAAGCTTTACTGAGATAATTTACATACCACCTCAGTACACCAATGGATCATCTATGTAAAGCATATCATTCATTGTTTTATAGAGTGATGCGGCTATTGCCACAGCCTAATTTTTAGATTATTTTTGTCACCCTAAAAAGATTCTATATCCCCTTTCCCTGCCCCTGCAATCACTAATCAACCACTGGATCTATTCTGGATGTTTCATGTAAATGCAGTCAGAAGACCTATGGCCTTTGTCTGCCTTTCAGTTTGCCTACCTCTTAAGGCATTTTCTCCTTTCTTCTCCATCCTGAGAATGAATCACATCATGGTCCTTGTACTATCCACCCTTCTGTTCCTAACCCTTCTGAGCTGGTCTCCCTGATCTCATCTCGTTTCTGCAGCCCTTCTCCCACTTCTTAAGCTCCCATGTCTTCCTTATGTGACATGTTATCTGCCTCATCCTGAATCTTGCAGCCCTTGTCCCAGATGATTATCCATTAGCCACTGAAGCTATTTAAGTTCAAATTCAAATTAAAATGTCAGTAGCTCATGTTCACTAGCCACGTTTCAAGTGTTCAAAAGCTGCATTTGACCACGCTATCTTATTGGACAGGGCCAACATAGAACATTTCGATCATTGCAGTGGTTAGGACCATTTAGACAGTTGGCTTCCTTTTAAGAAAACAAAATCACCACTATTTACTGATCTTAGCCCCAGCTCTGGTACTCCCAGCGGGTAGGAGCACCGAAAGGTAGAGGCTGAGGCACAGAGAAGATGCAGCTCCTTCCTAACACATGGATAATAGTAGGAGAGTTGGATTTTTTTCTTTTTTTAGTTGATGGATCTTTAATTAATTAATTTATATGTGGTGTTGAGAACCAAACCCTGTGCCTCACATATACTAGGCAAGCACTCTACTACTGAGCTTCAACCCTAGCCCCGAGAATTGGATTTTAATTCAAGAGGCCAGGCTGACTCCAAAGTCCCTGTAGAACATGTTCCTTTGGGGTCTCGTGGTGTGCCCTGGGGTGTCCAACTTAAACTCTACCTTCAGAATGGAGCTTCAAGAAGGCAGAAACCATGTTCCTACTGGCCGGCAGATGAGTATTTAGTAAACATTTGAAGAGTGAGTAAATGAACAACACCAGAAGATGATAGGTGCTTTGTCCAAGAGCTTTCTGGTGGCTTTTCTTCTCAACCATATCAGAGTTATATGCAGTTTGATCTTTTAGAAATTGCTATCTTCATAATGACATTTTTGCATCCAGTTTACAGATTCTTAGCTACCAGTCAGTACCTGAATTCATAGACCTTCTGTGGCCTTGAAACAGAAATGATGGCCAAGTCCCTCAAAGGTGCTTTACAGGAATTCTGGAACTACAACTTTGAAGGCTGGCAAGGCACCTCACCAGGGTCTCTACCCTCTAAGGAAATTGGTGCTGGTCCCATCCCCTGTTTTTCAGGGCCTTGCGCAGTTGGTAGTTCCCCTTGGCAATAGGGGAGGTCCCTGAGAGAAGGGAGTCTACTGTGGCTCTTCAGCCCCAGGAGTGCTAACAATAAATTGTGTGGGTGGCACATGCCTGCAATCCCAGTGACTTTGGAGGCCGAGGCAAGAGGGTTGCAAGTTTAAGGCCAGCCTTATCAACTTAGCAAGGCTCTAAGTAACTTAACAAGACCCTGTCTCAAAAAATTTAAAGGGCTGGGGGTATCAATGATAAATCATCCCTGCATTCAGTATCCAGTAACACACACAAACACAATTCTCCATCTTGTAGCCCACTGATAACTTCAAACAAAGGGGCCAGGGTGAGGGCAGTGGTTATGCTGTTGGGACTTTTTCTTAAATGTACAAAAATATGTACATACATAATTTTTCTCTTTTTTTTTAAATATTTATTTATTTATTTATTTTCGTTTTCGGCGGACACAACATCTTTGTTTGTATGTGGTGCGGAGGATCGAACCCGGGCTGCACGCATGCCAGGCGAGCGCGCTACCGCTTGAGCCACATCCCCAGCCCCCATAATTTTTCTTAATGAGATCATAATACAGAATGTTCTGTAGCTTACTGTTTTCAGGTGCTGTCACGGGCAGCCTTCCAACTGCATATGAAGGTGTCTGTCTACCACTTTGAGAGGCCACGTTGCATTTCATGGCATTGACCACCTCCTGTTGGATTCAGGTTATTTCTGTTGTTTTTTTTTTTTCCCACTATTATAAATAACAGCCAGCAGAGAGATTTGGGGTGCAACATCTTGTCTTCAAAGCAAGCTTACACTTTGTCATTTCATTTGGATATCATCTCTTGCCAGAGAGGTAATATCCCCATTTTATAGCTGGGGAAAATAATCTAGGAAGGAGAGACTTTTCCACATATCTCACTAATCTTGGTGGGAAGGTGGCTGGCTGGGCCAGTGAAAGGTGACCAATGTAAGATGAAAGGTGGCGTTTGACTTCAGTGTTAGGTTAAGAATAGGGAGTGATGGGTGCTGTGGATGAAAGAGACATTAATTAAGTCTCTTAGGGCCAGACACCAACAACTTGAAGTGTTAAAGTGACGCCCAGGGTTGTGTGAGCTTCTGGTCTTGAACTAAAGTGGGAAATGCACATTATACATGAAATATCTCGGTAAAAAGTGTTGCAAGATCATGACCCCTGCTTCAGGCCTGAATTTAACTGTTTTTGTTTTTGTTTTTGTTTTTTGTCCTGATTTATAATTTAATGGGGGTATGGGGGCAGGGATTGGTTTTGTTTTCTGAACTTCTTGCCTCTTATTTATTTATTTGTTTGTTTTATTAATTGGCAGCTCTGGGGATTGAACCCAGAGCCTCTTGCATGCTAGTGAAGTGCTCTACTTACTACTGGGTCACACCCTCATTGTTACCTTCTACCTGAGCAAGGCACGTACATAGTGGCCTTGAATGAGACAAAATTCCTACTTTTGATTCTAAAACAGGAGTCCAAAATATGAGTTTTATGGCTGGTATTTAATGCAGCAGATAATTAAGAGCCCCCCCAAGGCCCCAACTGTTCTGCAGCCCTGTGAAGTTAAATGGCCCAGAAAAGATCATTTTTGTGGCTTTCCACCATACAATTCCCAGTGGCCTTTTGTCCACTGGGCACTGGTGAGCAAGTCTTGACAATTTTCACCTCTTCCCCTATCCATGCTGTTGGCTAGAACCCAGAGCCTCGTGCATGTCAGGCAAGCATTCTACCCTCTGAGCTACATCTCCAGCCCTGCTCACTTCCCTAATACAATTCTGCCCCCAGGCCACAGTTTTGCTTAATGTTCCCAGTGACTTTATTGTGTGTCAGGCAGACATCGCTATAAATTCTCAAAATGTGTCCAGTTCCCCACTTTTCACTTTTCTCCTCCTTCTCCATTTTCCTCTAGGAAACAGTATCCTGGTTAGGAGTGGGACTCCTAAAGCCACGTTACTTCGGTTCTAGTACCAGCTGTGTCTCTAGATTGCAGTGTGTTCTTTCACTCTCTGACTTGGGTTGTCTGTAAAGTGAAAGGAATGCTTAACTCAGAACATGTAGTTGGATTTCTTTTCTTGGTCTCCTCTCAGTCTGCCTGTGTCTGTTCAGTGACAGAGATAAACCACAGGGCCCCTCCCCCACCCAAAGGAACATGACCTCCATCCAACTAGACCGTAGCTGAATTCTGGAAAAATTACTCAGAAGTAAAATTTCTGAAGGAAACAAGGTATTTTATCTAAAACAAGCAGGTGTGGCAGTCCCTATCATGGAAGTCGGGGGCAGGGGAAGCCTTTATCCTGTCACTAGAGTTCCCCAGGTACCTGGAAGGACAGTACTGGCAGCCCATCCTCTCCTTCCTGCCAGACTTGTGGGTGGACTGCTGAGTGGAGGGAATCTACTGGCTCTGCAGCACTTTGCTGTGGGCTCACTAAGATCAGAGGAAGGTCCAGGAGCTCTCTTGCCACCAGCAGTTCCTGACTGGCCTCTGAACCTCCCCTCTTGCAATTTCTTTCTCAGCTTCCAGTGGCCCAGGCCTAAGAGCACTTTCCCCATGGTGAGTTCTGGTGACCAGGCCAGCCACCTGACCATGAGCCTGCTCTGATGTCCTCTCTACTTCTGCTTGTATAGGGACTCTGGACCATTGAACCCTGAGCCATTCACTTCTGGCTCCCAAATTACCCCTCTGAATCTGTTTTCCTCAGTTTCCCTCAGTTTCCCTCAGATGGTGCAGGCCATGGCAGATTTGCTGCTAAGCCTGCAGCGTTTGCTTCCACTTTCAAACTTAAAACAGTGCTTCCTTCCCTTCTCCCCCATTTATTCATTCAGCGTATTTATTGAGTGGCCACTATGTACATGCCTTGCTCTGGGGGTACAGTCAGTGGTGAATGAGACACTAAGTTCCTGCCCCTGCATTTGAGTGGGAAAAAAGACATTAAGCAAATAACTTTCTAATGAATATATAACTAGAGATAATTCTAGTTATAGAGAGAATTCTGTGAGAATAATAAGCTGATTCATCTTAAGTAGGACTCTCACTAGAGCATATGTATGAAGGATGAAGGGAATCAAGAGGTCCGGTTCAGCAATTCTTCAAAAAGGTTTGTACAGTTACCATATGACCCAGAAATTCCCCTTCTAAGCGTATATCCAAGAGAAATAAAAGCATGCCCACACACAAATTTGTGCATGGATGCTTATGACATCATTATTCATGACTATTCATAATGGCCCAAAAAGTGAAATAACCCAAATACCTATCAGCTGACACAGTGATAAATAAAATGTGATCTATCCATACAATGAATATTAACCAGCTCAGTGGTAGAGCACTTGCCTCGCAAGTGTGAGGCACTGGGTTCAATCCTAGCACCACATAAAAACAAATAAAGGCATTGAGTCCATATACAACTAAATAAATAAGTAATTCTCACAGTTGCAGAAGGTGTGTTCAAGGTGTCGGCAGCGGTGGTTTCTCCTGAGGCCTCTCCTGGGCTTGGACATTGCCATCTTCTACCTTCATGTTCACATGATCTCTTTGTGTCTGGGTCCTAATCTCTTCTTATAAGGACATCAGTTATACTGGATTAAGGCCCACCCTAATGACTCACCTTTCTATTTCCAAGTATAGTCACATTCTGAGATTCTGGAGGTTAGGACTTCATATGAATTAGGGTGGAGGCACAATTCAACCATAACCAATGGGATGAGAGTAACTGCCACCAGACACAGGTCATCTTCTGGGGATGATGACAGTGTTCTGAAATTTGTGGCACAACTTTGTGGATACACTAAAAAAACATGGAATTATCCACTCTGAAAACAAACAAGCTTCGCCCTGGGGCAGGAAGAAGCCTGGCAACGGAGGAGAGAAAGTGGGGGGTAAGCAGAGGCCCTACCACCTGGGGCTCCTCTTTCAACTCAAGAGCATTAGTGCTTCAAATATCTGCTCCCTCCCTAAGACCTCACCTTTCTCCATATTACCTGGCATTAAAGCTCACTGTTAGGGACCCATTCAAGAGAATGGGACTGGAATTGGGATACTTTTCAAACTTCAAAGTGGCCTGTGTGCCAGGTGCTAAATCCTTGTCAACTAGTACATCATTTAGTTCTAATGATCCCAAGAGCTCTCTGCTGGCACTCTTCCTCCACAGAGCCAGGTAACTTGCCCAGAGTCACACTGTCCACATGGCTAGCACAGAAAGCAGCAGGATCCCAAGGCTGCCAGCTTGGCCACATCACTGCCTTTTCACTGCCCGTGAATTCGGGTTTAGTATCCTGTTTACATTTTGTGGAACTACTGGGGGGGATTGAACCCTGGGGCACTCTTCCACTGAGCTACATCCCCAGTCCTTTTTATTTTTTTAATTTTGAAACAGGATCTGGCTAAGTTGCCGAGGCTCGCCTTGAACTTGCAGTCCTTCTGCCTCAGCGTCCCAGGTTGCTGGGATTACAGGCATGCACCACCTGCCCAGCTATTATCCTTACCTTATAGTTGACATAACCGAGTCCTGGAGAGGTGAATGACTTGGCTAGGGTCCTACTGTGAGTGAGATCAGGCTAGAATGTAGGCCTCTAGCACTGGCTCAATGTTGGGAGTGGTGTGGACATGTGCAGGGTAAGTGACCACAGTGCCCAGTCAATCAGGAACAACACCAGGAGAGGGGCTGGGGGTTACAGTGTGATGGGGAAGCAGGCAGGACACTTGCCCCAGCCTCCCTGATGCCTGTGTGTCCAGCCTTGTCCCTGTTTCCTCCCCACCGGCAGCCCCTCCTGGTGCAAGACCTGCCCAACCCCTCAGTGGCTTCTCCTTGGCGTGGCTTCAGGGAGGGCCCGCCCTGTCAGAAGGGTCAGGGTCAGTATTAGAGGTGCTGAAGATGCCCAAGGGGGTGCCCAGGTGGCAGGGTGACTATCAATGGGAAAGCCGCCTTCCAGCTTGGGATGGGTGCCGCAGAGGCCCGCGTGACCTTGCTGCTGACATTCCTCAGAGGCCACGTGGCCCCAACTGGCAGGGACAGCTGCAGACAGGGGCCGAACCAGCTTTGTTACCAGGGTGGCGCCCACTCTCCATCCAGGCCCTGTTCAGCTCCTGTTCAGACTCTGCTTTCCTTTCCGGGGCTCACTGGGCAACCGGCACTGTGGGTCCTATGCCATGAGGGCCTAGAGGCACCCAGAGCCACCAGGGTCCCCCCGTGAGCCTCAGGGCTTTGAGAAAATGGGGCAGGACCAGACAAAGCAGCAGATTGAGAAGGGGCTGCAGCTGTACCAGTCCAACCAGACTGAGAAGGCGCTGCAGGTGTGGATGAAGGTCCTGGAGAAGAGCTCTGACCTCGTGGGGCGCTTCCGTGTGTTGGGCTGCCTGGTCACAGCCCACTCGGAGATGGGCCGCTACAAAGAGATGCTGAAGGTGGGCATACCCTCCCGGGGAGGTGTAGGCTGGCTAGGGCCAGGACTGGATGGCTACCAGGGCCCCTCGCAGCCTCCTTAGTGGCTGGAACCTGAGGCTTGAGATCCACGTCTGAGACCCTGAGAGTCAGATGTGGGCCTGTGGCCTTGAACTTCAGTTTTCTAACCCTTGAGTCTGAGGTCCTCAGGGGTCCCCCAGACCTTGGCTGCTGGATTTCAGCCTGCTGTTGGGGGTACCAAGTGTGCGCCTGGTGCCATGGGCTCTGGGTTTGAGGTGAGGGCTGGTGGTCAGTAGAGACTTCAGACCTAGGCGGGGGGTGGGGGGTGCAAAGCTGAAGGCCATGAGTGAACTGAAGAGCTGAAGCTACTAGGCTGTTGCTGGGACCCAGGATCAAGTCCGAGGCTGATGGGTGGGAGCCGGGGGTCTGTTGCTTTGGCTGTAAGGCCAGGGCTGGGTGTGGAGTCTGCAGGTCTGAGGGTATGTTATGTGCCTGCCACCCCGGTGGGCAGTTTGCCGTGGTCCAGATCGACACTGCCCGGGAACTGGAGGATGCCGACTTCCTCCTGGAGAGCTACCTGAACCTGGCGCGCAGCAATGAGAAGCTATGCGAGTTTCACAAGACCATCTCCTACTGCAAGACCTGCCTCGGCCTGCCTGGCACCAGGGCAGCCTCCCAGCTGGGGGGCCAGGTCAGCCTGAGCATGGGCAATGCCTTCCTGGGCCTCAGCCTCTTCCAGAAAGCCCTGGAGAGTTTCGAGAAGGCCCTGCGTTACGCCCACAACAATGATGATACCATGCTCGAGTGCCGCGTCTGCTGCAGCCTGGGCAGCTTCTACGCCCAGGTCAAGGTGGGCCTGGGCCCCAGGGGGAGAGTAACGGGGACTCCCTGAAAGCCTCCCATGAGCCACATGCCTGGCTGCACTGCCTTGTCCAGCCCTCCTTTTAGGTAGGGATGAGGTGAAAGGAAGTTGGAAAACACCGAGCCAAGAAGGGCAGAGCCAGGATTCACACCGTGACTGACTTCCTGGGGTAGTGAAAGGTCCTGTGGGGGGACAGCCCATGGGCCTGCACTACCACAGATTTGCTGTGTGATCCTGGGCAAGTCACCACTCTCTGAACCCCAAGACATATGTCCATCAACTAGGGAGACAGAACTTAACAGCAGGGATGTAAGGATTGGTCCGTCAGGTATTTGTTGAGCATCTACTATATCCCAGGCACTGTTGAACTGTTTCTCTGTGGCAGTGGAAATAACAGCAAAGTTCCTCATGAAGCTTGCCTTCTGGCTTGGGGGGAAAAGGACTGTCAACATAATCGGGATCAACTGGATGGCATGTTAGAAAGTGCTTAGGAGAAAATAAAGGGCAAAGGGGTGGGGGACACAATTTCAAATAGAGTGGCCAGAAGGCCTCAGGGAGTGACTTCTGGTGATATGATGTAGATGAGAGTGTGAGCTATGCAGAAATCTGGAGGAAAGTTCTCCAGGCAAAGCCCTGCCCTGGGCGGGAGGCTAGGGGACCACATGGCTAGGGGACCACAGGTGAGGGAAGCTGAGGGTCAGTGACTGCAGCTTCTCAACATAACCCTCCCGGCAACCCGGCTGCGTGGGCCATCAGGGATTTGGGTGCCTGGCACATAGTAGAAACTCAGTAAATCTGGGGTTAACTGACTGTATCGATGCAGCTGGATGAGGAGTGGGGAAGAGGAAATGAGGGGCATCGAGAACAGCCACCTAGACTCTGTTTTCAGGAACTAGATGCCAGTCAGTGCAATGAGATAGGACTGGGGAGGGATAGAGGTTTTTAAAAGCAACCCTATGTGAAAGCAATAATATAATGAAGTCTTGTATGCGCCCACCACTTGGTGGAAAAATTATTCCTATTTTTGCCATGTTGGCTGTACACATTTTAACCTAAAGTGTTGTGACCGAAAATTGAGTGATGACATTTTTTATGTCAAAGTAGTTCAGATGCAACCTTAAAATTTTTGAAGCCATTTTGTTTCGTAAGGACACTTTCTAATGTAATCATAATACTATTATCACACACTCCAGAATTAATAATAATCTCTGAAGAGCATCTAATGCCAAGTCTATATTTAAATTTCTCTATTTATCCTAAAAATATATCCTCACCCTCCTCAGCTTGTTTAAATTGGAACACAAACAAAAGCCACACATCAGAGTGGCTTATTGTGTCTTTCATGCCTCTCTCAATAGAAAATTCCTTCCCTTCCTCTTTATTTTCCATGACTTGTTGAAGAAACCGATCAATTAACCGCCTTGGAGAGTGTCTCTCTCTCTCTCTGTTTTGTTTTGTTTTTGTTTTGTTTTTTGGGGTTTTTTTAGTTGTAGTTGAACATAATACCTTTATTTATTTACTTTTATGTGGTGTTGAAGGTTGAACCCAGGGCCTCACACACGCTAGGCCCGTCCCTTTTGTTTTTGTTTGGGCAGGGAAGAAACTGGGGACTGAATTAGGGGCACTTTACCTATGAGCTATATCCCCAGTCCTTTATTATTTGTTTGTTTGTTTGTTTTGAGATAGGGTCTTGGTAAGTTGCTGAGGCTGGCCTTGAACAAGTGAGATCCTCCTGCCTCAGCCTCCCAAGTCACTGGGATTACAGGTGTGTGCCACTGAACCTGGCTCTTCTTTGTCTTTATAAATATTGTCATACTATGGATAAACTGTCCTGGTACTTTTGTTTTAAGGTCTTTCAAAATATGCTTATATTGGTTCTATCCTGGGTTTCAGCACCAAAAACAGAAAGAAAGATGGTTATATTAATATGATGTTCAGGCAAGGTGGTTTATGCATATAATGCCAGCTATTTGGAAGACTGAGGCAGGAGTATCACAAGTTCAAGACCAGCCTGGACAACTTAGTGAGACTCTGTCTCAAAGATAAATAAATAAAAAGAGCTGAGGATGTAGCTCAGTGGTAGAACATCCCTGGATTCAGTCTGTAGTATCTCACACACAAAAAAAAAAAAAAAAAGAAAAGAAAAGAGAAAGTAAAAATAAAATAAATATAATATACAGTCTGAATCATTTATTTCCATTTTCCATTTTTATGTTTTTTGTACTGGGAATTGAACTCAGGGGTGCTTAACCACTGAGCCACATCCCCAGCCCTTTTTATTTTCACTTGAGACAGAGTCTCACTGAGTTGCTTAGGGCCTGAGGGCCTTGTTAGGTTGCTGAGGCTGGCCTCGAACTTGCAATCCTCCTGTGTCAGCCTCTGGAGCCACTCGGATTATACCACACCTGGCTTTAGTTTTTAAATGAAGTAAGAAGTTGCACACTGTCGAGGATGATTCAGTAGAACTCAGTGATGCAGACACTGGGGTCGGGGATGTTCTGGCATTTGGAGCAAGAACAGAATGAAGGCAGAGTGGGACCAGGTGGTGGGGAAGGGGACTCTTGTGATCCTCCCTTTTTCTAATGGTCAGGAGGCAGGTTGCCAGCTGATAAAAAGAAGGAGAAAAGGCCTTTGGAGGTTTGAGGAGAAGATGTGAGAAATTTGTCTCATTGCCTCGCCAAGTCTGTTCCAATGTTCTTTTGAGCCAGTAGTCCTGGAAATCTGTCATTGAGCCCTCAGGGAACAGCTGCTGCTGAGCACCAGCAGGCAGACTCTAGATGGGGGGGCTCTAGTATCCCTTGTCCTGTGTGGCTGTGAAGCTGAGGAGGCTTTGGGGACTGGGTGCAAAGAAGAGCCAACTGTTTCCTTATCTTTTCATTCATTCATTGAACAAATATTTATTGAGCATCTACTAAGTCCAAGAACAGCGCTAGGCTCTTGGGATGCACTAGCAATCCCAGTGAATCCCTCTGCTCCTGGAGTCCACACTTTGCACTGGCCTTCCCTCTACCTGCATCCCCCTTCCCCTGGAGCTGGAGTGAATGAATGAATGAACACTGGGACCCTTGGCAGCCAGAGAAGCCAGCCCTGGAGCCCCCTCCTGGGAGCAGTTCCTGCCTGCCACTCAGTGCGACCCCCTCTCATTCTTTGTCCCTGCAGGACTATGAGAAAGCCCTGTTCTTCCCCTGCAAGGCCGCGGAGCTTGTCAACGACTATGGCAAAGGCTGGAGCCTCAAGTACCGGGCCATGAGCCAGTATCACATGGCCGTGGCTTACCGCCTGCTGGGCCACCTGGGCAGTGCCATGGAGTGTTGCGAGGTGGGGCAGCGGGGAAGTGGGCAGGTGGTGGTGTGGTCTGAGGATTGAGGTGCAGGACCTCCTGCTTCAGATCACCCCATTGAGGCCCTTGGGGCTTGTCCATGGCCGAGCTCTCTATGGAGCCCCTAAAGGATGTGTTTCTTACCCCCAACCTGTCAGGCCTCATTCTCAGAGGAGCGTGTTCTCTGAAGTTTCCTCTGAGTTGGGCTCAGATCTCAGCTTTGCCACTTACTAGCTGGGTGTCTTAGGCCACTTCTCTGAGCCTGTTTCCACCTGTCAACTGACAGCTGCCTCGCTGGGTAAAGTGGCCTCCGCGGTTCGATGCAGGAAGCCTCAGCACCATGATAGGTGTATTAGGCTCTGAGGATACTGATGATCCTTGGGTTGTCCCTTCAAGGGGCCTCCGGGTGGAGGGTGCCCAGTGGTGGGGTCAGATGAGCAGGCCTGAGCCACCCACTCCCTCAGGAATCCATGAAGATCGCTCTGCAGCATGGGGACCGGCCGCTGCAGGCGCTCTGCCTACTCTGCTTCGCTGACATCCACCGAAGCCGAGGGGACCTGGAGGTGAGGGTACTGGGCTGGGGGCCCAGGGGGTCTCAGGCCTGGCCCAGCCTGACACCCCCTCCCACCTGGCTCTGCAGACAGCCTTCCCCAGGTATGACTCTGCCATGAGCATCATGACTGAAATTGGAAACCGCCTGGGGCAGGTGCAAGTGCTACTGGGTGTGGCCAAGTGCTGGGTGGCCAGGAAGGCGCTGGACAAGGTGAGGTCAGGCCCTTTTCTACACCCCCAGCACTCCCTAGCGCATCCTGCTTGGAGCCACTCAGTCAGCTGACAGGCCGAGGTCTAGTGCCTGACAAGGCGCTGTCTGCCCCTGTGTCTAACACCAGCCTCATCCTGTTTCCCTGAGGCCAGTTATTTTCCAAGCTCTAAGAAGGCCCATGACTTGCCCAGGGGCCCACAGTTAGTAAAGGGACAGGGCTGGGGTTTGGACCTGGGGTAGCGTAACTGCCTCCAGGCTCTCATTAGCACCCTATGAGGCATTTTCCACCTGTTCCATATTTGCACAAAGAGGCAGGAGGTGACTCGCCACACAGTCCTGACACAGCCCTGGCAGCCGTGCATGTCCCTTCCCACTACCTTCACACACAGGAGCCTGGCCCTAGCCCTGCTGGTCTCCGCAGGCCCACCCTCCCCACCCCTTTCTTTGCTGTGAGCCAAGGCCTCTGTCAGACACTCTGCCTGCAGGCCTGACCTCTGCTCACCTTCCAGGCTCTGGACGCCATCGAGAGAGCCCAGGACCTGGCTGAGGAGGTGGGCAACAAGGTCAGACCTGCGTCTGTCTCCTAGTCTACGGTCAGCAGCCAAGTGGTGGGGAGCATGGGTCTGAGGGAAGGCCCCTGGGCCTGCTGGTGCCCTGAGCCCTTGCTGATCCTCTTGAGCTGCCTGTGGTGGTCCCCAGCCTCCTGTCTCCTTCCTACCCAGAAGTCACTTCTGAGGGAGGAGCAGGAGTTGCATTATTTGGAGGATGGCAGATGCCTTAGACCCTTTTTGACATTCATTGAAACTCCTGAGGTGGCCTCCACTCCCTAAGAGCTGGGCACACCCAGGTCCTTGTAGGTATTGGTTCCGGTTCTCTTTTTTCATATTTTTTTTTAGTTGTAGTTGGACACAGTACCTTTATTTATTTATCCTAATGTGGTGCTGAGGATCAAACCCAGGGCCTCACACATGCTAGGCGAGTGCTCTACTGCTGAGCCCCAGCCCCAGTTCTCTATCTTCCTGGGAGGTGGGCACAGGGGCCTCCTTGGAGAGGTGAGGAAAGTGAGTCTCAGGCTCAAGGTCTCTCACCACTAACTGGTCTATCTTAATACCAAGACCCATGTTCCCTCCATAACATAATGCAGCCTCTCCAAATTTATAATCATATCCAGGCCTTAAAATATTGGAAACAGGCTCAGCATTTCTCAGGGTCTTTTAGCAAATATGCATTTCTCTGGGATCAGGTGCACAGTCCAACTAAAATGCCACATGTATTTGCTTTGGGCTAGATGATGCCCACTCAGGTTTATCCAGCTATCAGTCTGATCAGAGATCCTTTTTTTTTTTTCCTTTTCTTTTAAAATCAGAAATGCTGATGAGATGTGTATATTACCAAAAAAAAAAAAAAAAGAACAGGAAAGCAAATCATTAGGGAGACAGTGCAGTGGATTTGGTCAATAAAGTTGTTCAAAACATGGAGTCCCAGGGAGATCTAGGCGTGAAGACTGTGATCTCACCAACTCCTTCATTCTGCTCCAAGGGAAACAGGTTCAGAGAGAGCAGGACATTTTTCCTAGGTCCGTCAGCAGAGCAGGGAAATGGCTGGGACTGGTCCTCACCAGTATGTGACTTTGGTCTCCGTCCCCACTCTGTTCTCCTGTCTCCCGTGCCCCAGCTGAGCCAGCTCAAGCTGCACTGCCTGAGCGAGGGCATCTGCCGCAGCAAGGGGCTGCAGCGGGAGCTGCGAGCCCACGTTGTGCGCTTCCACGAGTGCGTGGAGGAGACGGAGCTCTACTGCGGCCTGTGCGGGGAGTCCATAGGCGAGAAGAACAGGCGGCTGCAGGCCCTGCCCTGCTCCCACATTTTCCACCTCAGGTGAGGGCGCCTGCACGGTGGCCAGGCAAGGGCCCCACTGACTGCGTCACACTAATAATACTAACAGCAGACACTGGCCTGGTGCTTTCTGGGGCCCAGGTGTGTTCTAAGAACTCCCCATCTGACTCCCTGAATCCTCCCAGCAGCCCTGCGTGGCAGCCATTGTCATTATCCTTATCCTAAAGTTCTTCAAAGGGGTAAGGATAAGTTTTCCAGTTATCCCAAAGGGAAGTGAGAGGCCTCTTAAAGGTCATCGGATCAGAGAAGGAGGCAAGCCCTGCCTCCGTGTCATGGCCGATGCCAGCTCCATCCCAGTCTTGACCCTGCCCACACCCTCTGCCATGAAGGCTCCTGGGGCAGAGCAGAAGCCTGGGGACCAGGACTTTCTTTCCTTCCTTCCTCTGCTGCCAAATGGCCACAGGGATACCTCCTAGCCCTGCAGCAGGAAGTGGGGGAGGAGACAGGGCCTACGACCCAAGTGGAAAGACAGGTCGGGGGTGAGTGGACAGAGCCCTTTGCTTCCTCAGATGCCTGCAGAACAATGGGACCCGGAGCTGCCCCAACTGCCGCCGCTCATCCCTGAAGCCTGGCTTTGTATGACTTGCAGCAGCAGCAGTCTGGTCTCCCCCCACAACTCCCTTTGCCCTCCACCATCAGACTGAAGGCCCAGGTTTGCTCCTGGAGCAGCCACAGGCCTCTTCAGTCATAGCCAGGGCCTGGGCCTGCCCACTGCTGCTCCTTCAGGCCCAGCTGCCCTCCCCTGCCTCTTTGTACTTTGCTCTTTACAGAAAAATAAATGGTTTGTGCCTGACCCCACTGATTGGCTTTCCCTGCCCATGGTCTGAGCCGGTGGGGGGAGGGGGAATGAGGCGCTCCAAGTGAGCTTCCTGGAGCACCTTCCCTCCACTCAGGACTCCACAGTGAGCCTGCAAGGAGATCCCTGCTGGTGGCACGCTGATGTGCACGGGGAGGGGGACTGCACACAGTGAACATGATCAGTGTGGATGGTCTGTTAGAACACCTCAAACTCACCTGTTAAAGCCCTAGTCAGCAGGGCTGCGAACACCAAATGCCATACACTGGGTGGCTTACACACAACAGAAATTTATTTCTTACAGTTCTGGGGACTGGAAGCCCAAGTTCAAGGTGCCAGCAGATTGGATGCCTGGGGAGGGCCCGTAGTCCTTCTCTCAATGACTTCACACAGTGCCAGGGCAAGATAGCTCTCCAGGGTCCCTGACTAGGGCACTGTCATTTGTGAGGGTTCCATCTTCGTGACCTAATCACCTCCCAATGTCCTCATTCCTAAAACAATCACACTGAGGATCAGAGTTTTTTTGTTTTTGTTTTTTTTTTAAGTTGTCAATGGGCCTTTTTATTTTTTATTTATTGATACGCGGTGCTGAGAATCGAACCCAGTGCCTCGCACATGCTAGGCAAGTGCTCTGCCACTGAGCCACAACCCCAGCCCTGGGGATCAGGTTTTAATATATGATATATTGGCTGGAGGGGTCGTGAAGGGTAGGACAGGTGTTTGGACTTTGGCAAAACCTAATCCCCAGTCTGAGTGTTAGGGCCTTGAAGGAGATATTAAGGCCAATTGAGGTCATTAGGACAGGAACTAATTCAATGGACTGGTGTCCTTATAAGAAGAGGAAGAGGGCCGGGTGTGTGGCTCAGTGGAAGAGCACTTGCCTAGCATGTGTGAGGCACTGGGTTTGATTCTCAGCACTGCATATAAATAAATAAATAAAGGTCCATCAACAACTTAAAAATTTTTTTAAAAAGAGGAAGAGACATTAGACACCAGAGAGTTGGGGGTTTTTGTTTGTTTGTTCTGGTTACAGGGATTGAACCGGGGGTGCTTAACCACTGAGCCACATCCCCAGCCCTTTTTCATATTTTATTTAGAGACAGGGTCTTGCAGAGTTACTTAGCACCTCCCTAAATTGCTGAGGCTAGCTTTGAACTCGCAATCCTCCTACCTCAGCTTCCCAAGCTGTGATTACAGGCGTGCGCCACTGTACCCAGCTAGAGGTCAATATAGTTATAAACGTGAGTGTTCACCAGGCTGGGGCAGTAATGTGCACACCTAGCACCCTCATCTTGGCTTCTAAATACTGTGTTCCAAAAAGGAAACAAGGCTGTCAAAGGAAAAGGTCTGATTCTAGGCCTGGGTCATGAAAAGTAAGAGACTGGAATATCTTTTATCAGAAAGCCAGGAAATAAGGAATGATGAGGATAACAGGAGACATCTTTGTTGGGCTCCTGCAGCTCGTGAGTAATGAGTGATCACGATTGTCTCATCAGTACAGGCTGCCATCACAGAGGGCCACAGAATAGGTGGTTTGACAACCACAGTTTTGGAGACTCAAGTCCAAGATCAAGGTGCTAGAAAATTGTAAAATCTGCCTTTTCACTGTCTCCATACCTGACCTTTCCTCTGTGCTCCTGCAGAGAAAGAGCTGCTCCTTCTCCCTTCCTTGTCCTATAAAGGTATTAATTCCACCCCGAATGCCCCATCTCATGACCTCATCTAACCCTAATCACCTCCCAAGGGCTCCATCTACAGATAACCATCACCCTGAGAGCTGGGGCTTTGACATATGGGTTCTGGAACACAAATATTCAGTCGAGAACAATGATACTAACAGATTTTGTTGAACTAGAATCCATCCTGATATAAATAAATTTATTATTTATGAGAAATGGGATATCTGCATAATCCCAAAATTCTCACCCACAAAATACATCTTTTAAATTTAAGAGAAAAAAAGAGCTAAGACTTGGTTGGAAGGTTGACAGAGTCCAGCTTCATCAAATGAAAAAGGATAACACCTCCAGGAATGAGTCACACTCCACCCGCAAGAATGCAAGGGCAGAACTCCACGCTGCTGATGGGAAATGCCACCAAGGATGTACAGCCCAGGACTGGGATCAGGAGAACACACGAAGTGAGAGCAGCCTTAGAAACATCTCAGAGGAACTGTGGTCTTCAGACATGTCAAGGTCACAAAGCCAAGGAAAGTCTGAGAAATGGTTCCAAGGGAAAAAAAGACTTGATACTGTTTTTTTTTTTGTTGTTGTTGTTGTTGTTTTTAATGAATGAATAGCTGGCTTTATTTATATTTTTAAATATATTTTTAATTGTCAATAGACTTCAAATCCCATACCTCACACATGGTAGCAAGTACTCTACCACTGAGCCTCACCCCCAGCCCTTGATAATTTTTTTTTTTTAGTACTGGGAATGGAACCCAGAGTCACTTTACCACTACGGTACATATGAAAGTCCTTTTTAAACATTTTTTATTTCGAGACAGGGTCTTGTGATTTGCTTGGCATCTCGATAAATTGCTAAGGCTGGCCTTGAACTTGCAATCCTCCTGCCTCAGCCTCCTGAGTGTCTGGGATTACAGGCAGTGACACTGTGCCAGGTTTATACTGTTTTTGTTTTGTTTTGTTTTGTTTTAAGGTTATAAGGGTCATCCAGTGGATAATGGAAGAGATTTTAATGAGAATCATATCTTGGGGATGGGGATATAGCTCAGTTGGTAGAGTAAAAAAAGGGATTATATCTTAGGTATTACTTCATCAATATTGAATTCCTTGGGTATGACCGTGTATTATACAATGCATTGCAGTTATATATGAGAATGTCTTTGTTCTTAGGACACATAGGCTGAAATGCTTAGAGGTAAAATGTCATGAAGTCTGTAACTTATTTTTTGAAGTGGTTCCAAAAAAAAAGTTCATGTTTACACACAGTCACAGCAAAAGCAAATGTAGCAAAATGTTGTCAACTGGCAAATCTAGGTGAAAGGTACAGAGGTTTTCACTGTTTATTCTTTCAATTTTTGTATCTTTAACATTTTTCAAAATGCAGTTTTTTTCAGAAAGATTTTAGAAAGTATTGTCTAGAAACAAATAGGGTGTGTGTGTGTGTGTGTGTGTGTGTGTGTAGAGAGAGAGAGAGAGAGATTTGTTATAAGGATTGGGCTCACAGCTCAGTTGATTATGGCATCTGGCAGGTCCCAGGGTCTGCAGGGTGAGTGGGTAAGCAGAGAGGGCAGTTTAGTTCCATTCTGAGCATGAAGGCCTGGGAAACAGCCAAGCCAGTAGTGTAGTTCCCCTCTGAAGGCTGTCCAGCTCAAGACCCAAGGAGATTTGATGTTTCACCCGAAGACGGGGTAAAAATCCTTTGGCCTAGTTTAGGTAGTACAGCAGGAAGATCTCTCTCTTACTCAGTCTTTTTATTCTATTCAGAACTTCAGCTGATTGGATGTGGCCCTCTCCCACTACAGTTGGCAACCTGCTTTTCTCAGTCTAATGACTTAAATATTAATCTTTTTTTTTTTTTCATACCAGGATGCTTAACCACTGATGTGCTTAACCACATCCACAGCCCTTTTTATTTTTTATTTAGAGTCAGGGCCTCACTCAGTTGCTGAGGCTGGCTTTGAACTTGTGTTCCTCCTGCCTTAGCCTTCTGAGATGCTGGAATTACAGGTGTGAGCCACCGTGCCTGGTTTTAAATGTTAATCTTGCCTAAAAACAAAATCAGAATGATGTTTGGCAAAAAAACCTGCGTACCCGATAGCCCAGTCAATTTGATATACAAAGTTAACCATCAGAGGAAGGTTAAGGTAGAAACAGGGAGGCCCAGGAAAAGGCCTCTGTGATAATTCAGGTGACATGATGGTACCTTGAACCAGAGTGGATAGGACATGGAGGTGGTAAGAAGTAGACATATTTGGGGTAGGAGTTGGGAGGAGATATCTCTTGTCTTGGAAATTTTCACCTAACAAGAGTGGAAAGACTAGAATGGTGAATCTCCATTCAGCCCTAACTCTTCATATTCAGCATGTGGACAATCTTATTTCCGTTATGGCTACCCCCTTACCCCAAGCTCCACATGCTTCACTACATTATTTTGATTCTGACCTTATTTTGAATTCTGGATATATGTTCAAGGGAGAATGAGAGGAATTCCAGGTGGACTGGATGTGGTATATGGTGATCCAAGATGACAACAAGGCTTGTGTCTGAGCAATGCAAGGACCCAGTGTAAGGTCCTGAATGTGTCATAGTCTCTTTCTACCTGGGGCTGAGACCTGCTGAGCCTGGCTCAAGGGAGCACTCTGGAGAGAGTATGGGCTTTGGAGAGGAAATTGTCCAATCAGTGGTATGCAATTTAATTCTTTTTTTTTTTTTTTTTTTGGTACTGGGGGTTAAACCCAGGGGTACTTGATCACTGAGCCACATCCCCAGCCCTATTTTGTATTTTATTTAGAGACAGGGTCTGGATGAGTTGCTTAAGGCCTTGTTAAGTTGCTGAGGCTGACTTTGAATTTTCCATCCTCCTGCCTTAGCCTCCTGAGCTGCTGGGATTACAGGATTGTGCCACCGTGCCTAATTCATATTTCACTTGAAAAAAAAAAATTGGGGGAGTGGGTAGGCACTTTCCTAGGCCCCTGGGGACTTGTGTTATACAAATAAGATGTATAAGCCAGGCCAGGTGGCATATGCCTGTAATCCCAGCGGTTTGGGAAGCTTAGGCAGGAGGATCATGAGTTCAAAGCCAGCCTCAACAAAAGTGAGGCACTAAGCAACTGAGTGAGACCCCGTCTTTAAATAAAAGACAAAATAAGACTGGGGATGTGGCTCAGTGGTTGAGTGCTCCTGAGTTCAATCCTTGGTACCCCCAACCCCCACCACACACACACACACACACACACAAAAGATACATAAGAAACATGCACTCAGGGTTTTTTTTTTTTTCTTTTTTATATCAACCAAATAATCACACAA